GTACTCTAATTTTGCAACGCAATTCTTCGATGCCCCCTTCGTCAGGTAGAGGAAGAGTTGAGGAGTGTGCGGCTAACTTATCGGAAAAAAATTCAAACATGGGAAGAAGGTCGAAGGATGTGGGGCGGGGCGTACGGAAAAGGTTTTGAAAAAGTAATGTGGCACATAGTTGTGATTTTGTGTATATTATTTTGCCGTGGGCCTTTTCTCTGTTTGCATTAACCTCCATATTGGGTATTGTTGACGTCATGCTTTAACGATTGTAGGAAAAAAAGTCACAATAAAAAAAACACAGGAAAAAAAACAGAAAAAATGCATAAAACAGCAACATGTCTTTAATTCAACACATTGTGTATTGGGTTGGAAATGTTTAATACAACCTTGTATTCGAAGTAAAGAGGAGGAAGTCGATTGTTTCTTATGGATGGAATGTTTAGGGCTGGACGGACGCAAAATTGTAAAAAATAGCAAAAGATAGAGACACTGTGTTCCCGTGTTAGGCTCGTCGGCTATTGCATTTTTATATATAAGTTGACAGGCATGTTTCATAACTTTGTCTTAAACTATTGAAATTGCAAAAGACAGTTGTAGTAGTATTTACTACTCAGGACTAATCGTCAAAATTAATCTTCTTTAGAAATTAATCCGGATAGCTCAGGGGTCGGCAACCTTTTGAAGCGGAAGAGCCAAAAGTTAATATTTTCAAAATTTCCTTGGTTTTAAAGAGCAACTAACATTTTTTTATTTCAAATATTTTTTTTTATTAAGATTATTAGTATTTGTGCAAGGAGCTGGAGAGCCGCATCTTGATATCAAAAGAGCCGCATGCGGCTCGCGAGCCACAGGTTGCCGACCCCTGGGATAGCTGCAACTAGTGTAACCTTATGAAACAATACTGATGTGATTGGCGTAACGTTTCATTATTTGATTTTGTACAATACTTTTTTGTAAAAATGGCTTTAAAAATAAATTAAATTTTACCCGTTGCTGTTATTTTCGGTTGATTAAAAAAATTAATACGCTTGATCACGTGGCGCTAACAAGCTCGCCAAATCTACCAAAATGGACTGGGGTGGGTAAGGGGAGACACTGACACATCCATAGCCTCACCCTACCCCCACTTGTCTGTGACGCAACAAGCCGACGATCGTCGCCTTTGATGTTGTGTAAAACCCGTACGGTACCCGAGTGGCTCGCAGTGGTTTCATGCCCCACCTCCCTTTCCCGTCACTTTGTTCAGTTGATGTTACTTACCATCGGGCGTAGATCAAGAAATTTTACACAGTATTCGTCTGACACGTTCATCAAATGTATTCCAACAAGCGCAGGAAAGGGGGGAGGACGGGACTGGGGGGGGGGGACGTTACAATAAATTTCTCTAGCTCTACAATCTGACCAAGAAAGTTATTTATAGATCTAAATATAAATATCATGTGGCCAAGCTAGTTATTTATAGATCTAGATCTAGAATCTAGGTCAAACAAAAGATTAATTAAAATAAATACCAAAGATTCATTAAATAAAAATACAATCCATTTAATAATCATAATACATTTTAGTCCTAAAATACTTGATATAAATCTTTGTGATTTATCTATCTAGATCTAGATTCTAGATCTAGATAGATAAATCACAAAGATTTATATCAAGTATTTTAGGACTAAAATGTATTATGATTATAAAATCGATTGTATTTTTATTCTAGATCTAGCAAGAGTTACGCAAATACTAGATTCTAGACTTTAGCAAACGAGTCGTAGAATCTAGATCTAGATAATTCTATCTAGATCTAGATAATTTCAGACCTTCTTTATTTTATATAATTCTTTGTTTGGCTAATTTAAGATAAAATTTAATTTGAAAGTTACTACTACTAGATCTAGATCTATGCGCGTAAATTAAGTTGCATAAGGAGACTCAAAGTATTAAAGTATAGTATAAAATTCATCTGTGACGTCACGAGTAAATAGCTAAGTTATTAGTGTAATCGGCTTACATGCGGGTTGCACAGGTTCTAGACCAATACGTCAATGAACATTTTTTTTTTAATTTTAATTTTATTTTTTAGATGTGAATCATAAAGTTGCCTATCTGAACTTAGCGGGATACAGGTCAGGTGACGTAGAGTTCATCTGTTTCTTTGTCCTAAGCATATGAAGGGATAGTGTGGTCAGAGACATGCTCGGCTGGAATCGTTTTTTAAACGATAAAAACATGTTGTCTGAGAATTGGCGGGACACTGGGCAGGTGAAGTAGAGTTGAGTAGGTCACCTGTGACGTCAGTATATGAAGGGATAGTCAAAATACGGTGTTTTCGGTGTTTTTCAAATCGAAAAGTTTGTCCCCGGGCGCCGGGAAGGGTCGCTACGCCTCTGAGTGACAGACGTGATGTTGTTTGATGGATGGCCCCCGAAACCCACAGTTATCCAACGGATTACGGGTAGTCTAGTATATATATATATATATATATATATATATATATATATATATATATATATATATATATATATATATATATATATATATATATATATATATATATATATATATATATATATATTTATATGTATGTATATTTAAATAAATATATTTATATAAATAAATAAATATATATATATATATATATATATATATATATATATATATATATATATATATATATATATATATATATATATATATATATATATATATATATATATGTATATTTATATAAATATATTTATATAAATAAATAAATAAATAACTACTATATATATATATATATATATATATATATATATATACATATATATATATATATATATATATATATACATATAAATGCCTTATACAGTAGTAACTATGTGCATACGCATGTGTATATGTATTTCAATATTTTTTTCCGGATATATTATTGTTTTTGACGCTACACATTTTTAGGGCTGAACTTCGTCCTCTTATTACTTTCGTGTATTTAGGCTACGAAGTATAGAGTCTTGTAATCGTGCAAAAAAAAATCGAGATTTTTACAAATCTCGACGTTTTACATCTCATTGAAAACATAATTTTGCAATCTTGTCCTTATGTCTATATGTCTGTCTGTCTGTCTGTCTGTCTGTGTGTGTGTCCGTGTGTAAACACGATAACTTGAGTACCGATACAGCTAGTTTGATGACATTTCATATATAAGTATTTTATTAAAATCGTAGATCCGTATCAACTTTTGAGCGATTTCCGATAACCGGAAGTGGTACTTTTTCTATTTTGAATTTTTCAAAAGCCTATAACTTGATTACTATTTCAGATAGATAAATGAAATTTGATATGTAAGTAAAAGATATAATTTTTTACCATCTGTGAAATTATGATTAATTTCCGTTGACCGGAAGTACTTATTTACGCTATTTCCGATTTCTCAAAAAACGCATGTGAATTTATAAAGTACTAATAATATTGCGCACTATTATGCACATCTTTATTTATCGTTCACTTGGTGTGCAATTCTTTTTTTCTACAAGATATTTAATCTACTATCCGTCCCGGCCAGGCCCTGCTCTGGCTTCTGTAAAAACCTTTCTGTTAAAGACCGTTACCTGTGTGTTGAGTAATCATCACAAACCCGGCATTGCCCACCCAAACTACAACCAACCAAAACCAAAACAACAAAACGCAAACATAACTTTAACACAATTACAAATACAAACGAAAACAAAAACCTAACAACTAACCGAACCATAACCACAAACACCAATACAAACACAAAGAAAAAAACAATCAAAAAAGCAAACGAAAACAAAGACCTAACAACAAACCCAACCACAGCCACAAACACCAATATCAACACAAAGAAAAAAAAACGAAAAAGCAAACGAAAACAAACCAAATCCAAACGCAAAACCAACCACAAACACAAATACAAACCCAAGAAAAAAACACAAACAAAAACGAAAAAAGAAAGAACAAAAACGAACCAAATCAAAACGCAACCACTTACGCAAACCTAACCTAAACACACAAAAAAACACTAACGCGAACATAAACGAAAAGTGCTCACAGTCTAGCCCGGCGCGGAATCGCCTGTTTCAGCTTAATAAACGAATATTGTACCCCAACTTATTCATAGTCTTTTGCACTCACTTAAACGAACGCGCCTGTTTCAATTTAATGAACAATTATAATACTCCAGGGGCGGCGTGGTCGAGTCGGTAAAGATCATGGTTGCTAAACCGAAAAGTCTCGAGTTCGAACCCTCGGGCAGATGAGGCTCGTTAGCTGGGGACAGCCACTCTTCTAGGAGAGACAACTCCAAAATTAAACAACTGCTGCCTTGCAGTTTGTTCTTGGTTGGACAAAGGCTATGGAAGCAAATCCAAAAAGAAAAGCAGGCTGAAATCGGAGTCAATGGCCTCAATGGCGCATAACCAGTTGACACGTAACGCTTAATTGTGTTGGAGGCGTGGCCGAGTCGGCATAAAGCTCATGGTTGATAAATTCGAACAAAGTCTCGAGTTCAAACCCACTGGCATATAAATCTCGATCCCATTCAACACTAATAATTAAGAACGAAGAAGAAGAAGAAGATAATACTCCAAGCTTATCCATAAAATACCTACAACATTTGCTCTTGATCAATCCCCGCTAATTATGTAATTATTTTTTTTCCCAATACCAAAACAAAGTAACAAAAAGTAAATTCTTTTCCACTAATGCAATGTTTTTTATAAAAAGAAGTAATTGTGTTTTCCGAATTTATCAAAGGGAAGTAAGTGCTAAAAGACTAAATAAAGACATAATTAGAATTTTTGTAAAAGATGATATTTTTTAAAACTTGTGTTTAATGAGCATGCCGACAATTATTACTTTCAGTTTGAAAAATGAACATTATTTCCCAACACTTTCAATATTAATTTTTAAACTCATAAATTTAGACCATAAGAACTTTAATAATCTAACACTTAAATCCATGGAAGTATCCGTGACAACCATTTTACACTTTACATATTACAAACATGTTAAAGACCACTGGTAGAGGAAATATCCAGAACTTTTAATTCATAATGGCAATGAAAAGGATCCAGAAGGAATTATTAGACTTGGGCAGAGATCCACCATGTAATTGCTCAGCTGGACCAGTCGGAGATGACATTTTCCAGTGGCAAGCAACAATTCTAGGTCCTGCAGACAGTCCTTATCAAGGTGGTGTGTTTTTTCTCACTATAACTTTTCCTTCAGATTATCCTTTCAAACCCCCTAAAGTAGCTTTCTCCACCAAAATTTATCACCCAAATATCAACAGTAATGGCAGCATTTGTTTAGATATTCTAAGAAGTCAATGGTCACCTGCCCTCACAATATCAAAATTGTTGTTGTCAATCTGCTCACTACTGACAGATCCGAATCCTGATGACCCGTTGGTCCCAGAAATTGCCAGAATGTTTAAAACAAATCGCACAGAGTACAACAGACTAGCCAAAGAATGGACTGCAAAATATGCAGAGTGATGTCAGAGTGCAGCATTGTTTGTTGATGCTGCTTCAGGAAAACACACCATCTAGCATACAGCAGGACACCATCTTTTTATTTTGCTTTCCTTCCAATATTATTGATTGTACATAAAGTATAATTTGAGACAGAAAGATATTTTTCTAAAAGTTAGAGTTCTCCTACTTACACCATATTATATATCTTTCTATGTAACGTTAGGGTTTTAAAAAAAAATTATCACTTTTTAAAGGATTGCAGCAGTTTGTTTTTAAAGTTTTTACTTTTAGTTCTGTTCACTTACTTTCGGTGTTGGGGTGGTGCCTAACACTTGTGTTACTGTTAACTAGTACTGAAATTGTTTCATTTAGCATCCCATAATTTTCTACTTGCTGTGTGAATACAATGAAAGCTTGACAATGGGACACAAGTCTATTCGTATGTACATTTGATTTGTGATTCATTTCATGGTCCTATTTAGCTTATTTTTTTAATGAAGGTTTGTTTCCTATTTATTGCTCTTATTAAAATGGACATTGATACAAAAAAAAAAATATATATATATATTAGATTTTAAAAAGTTTGAGTATTTAAAATGGATTAAAAATCATGTCTAGAAGTCTATATCCCGAGTTGCTATCCCCCGTAGTGTTATATTATAATATTCGAGAAAGTTTAGGGGAGATCACTCCCGGTTTATTTTTATGTATAGAAAAATGATTAACATAGAGACCAACATTTTTACAACGTTTGTATCCGCTAGAAGCTTTTTACCTTTGATGAATATTGTGCATTTGTAAACAAATTAGTTTAATTTTTAATATTCCATTGCATAATATAAAAACAAGTTAAAGATTAAACTGATTTAAGGCGTGGAGTAATTGTTTCAAAACGTTTGGCAACTTTTTTCACGGCAGACGAAAAAACGTTAAATTGTTTGATTGCTACAAGTCAAACAATTCTATTAATCTATTTATCTTATTGAATTGGAAAAAGCATTGCTTTTGTTGTTCATTATAACATTTTGTCTCATCCCTATCTTAGAAGTCGATTAACATATAAGTTATTACAATTCTCAACAAAAGCTTTTGCTTTTGACATATCTTTCAGAATCCTCTCTCCAATATAGAGCAATCGATTTGTTGTTGTCTGTATATTAAATAAGGGAATGTAACTAAATATTTAAAGTAATGCTGATTTTATTAATTGAATTGTCGTACTTTGCAATGAAAGTCATGTACTGTTATTTATTTTAGAGAAACAGCAGCTAGTGTATAGCATTTGGAATTATTGTAAACGCATTAATATTTAAATTTAGTTAAACACTACTTAATAGTTTAAAATTATTAACGGATCAAGATTAATATACGTCTTTTGATCAACTGTACTTATAATTTACGGATATAAACAATTTAAACAACTTCTAGAGTTTGGTTTTCACAGTAAACATTAAAGTTTCCTTTTCAAACCTGCCGGTCTATGGGGCAAGTGAAGTAGAGTTCACTTGTTTCTGTGACCTCGGCATATGAAGAGATAGTGTGGTTAGCACTATGCCCAGCCGCCTTTACTATCCCTAACGTGAGTTAGGTACCCAACCGAGTTGGGCGGACTCAGTGACGGTCTACTGACTTGAACCCGAATTCGTGCTCGAGACTTACGGGTTAGCAGTCCAGCTCTCTGACGCTAGACCACTCATTCCCATAACGGTTTTAACAGTACTTTGTTTTTTAAATTAAAAAAAGCCTTTTCTTATGTTTAGATCTACCTAGCACAGGGATCGGCAACATTTTAAGACAGAAGAGCCAAAAGTTGATTTTTTTAAAAAAATCCCAGTTTTAAAGAGTCACTAACATTTTTTTTTCCAAACATTTGGTATTTGGTAAGGAATAGGTAATTATATTTTTTTTTTAATTTAAAATAATTAGAGTTAAATAAGAACTTATAATGATTCATATAAAACAGAAACTTTTCGCAGAAGAAGTGTTTTAGCTAGATCTGCTATGGTAAAATATTAAAATTAGTAATCAAATAATATAAATATAGGACAATCCCAATCCACTTTAGTAGCCAATCATTTTTTTTATTCTTCCTCTTTCGGACACCACCGGCTCAGTAGGTGTTTCCTCAACACGACCAACTGCGACTAACTGGGTATCGGTTTGATTACTGCAACGGTCGCTTTTTTCTTTTGGTTCTCATCGAACGCAGGGTAAGGTTAACTCGTACCCTACAGTCCAGTACATGGCTCAACTGTGGGAAGCTAATAACTAAAATACTACGTCACTCAGGTCAAATTAATGCATACTGGATTATAGAGAAATGCATTATGAATAAAACGTTTCCCATTTAATGATATTCCAAAAATTCGACACTTGGGCTGTGGCAAGCATGGAATTGTTGCCACGGAGCTGTCCACAACACAGCCATGTGGCTGTGCCTGGTTGGTACCCAAGCAGCTGTCAGCTATCTGTATACCTTCTGCTTCACCTATCCACTCTGTTCGCTGATGAGTATTTTCATCCTGTTTAAGTTAAAGTTATTTTTCTTAACGGTATACAATTTTTATGAGTTTTGAAAATGAAATATAATTAATATTTGTGCATTAAACGGGAGAGCCGCATCTTGAGACTCTAAGAGCCGCATGCGGCTCGCGAGCCGCAGGTTTCCGACCCCTGACCTAGCAGTCTGAACTAAATTAAAAAGAAACAACTCTATTTTTTTTAAGACACCGGGGTAAGCCACTTTTTCTTTGAACAGTGTCGACGTATGATTACATAATTAGCAAAATTAGTATAATCTTCCTAACTTAAAAAAAAACAAAAAAAGAGTAATAAATTATATTTAAATGAATTATAGGGGGTAAGAAATAATTAACTGAATGAGGATATTTAAATTCTAAAAATAACTACAAATGTCGACCTACTTTACGAAGTAAGTAAACAATAAAATGGTCATAAATTTATTAAAAAAAAATCGTAAGATTAACATTAGCTACAACTTGATTAAAAATTCTTAAAATTGATAATATCAGCGGAAAAATGAGCGCATTATTTATGCATTTAAAATTTTAACAAAACAACAACAAATAATTCATTGTGGGAATTTCCGTTATTACGTGTCAAAATACGAAAATATATGTTTAAGTAAATTTATTCAACACACAGTAATAGTAAATTGTGTTAAACTATAACATTTAAAGTTACCAGTACATTAAATAGACTATAGATAGACAATCACTTAATATAAGTAGCTAACTCGTTCATTGATAACAGTAGCACACATTTTATAATACACCGTGGATACGACGCAATAAGAAATAAAGAGGATACGAATTCATTACATTTATTCAAGAAACTCCGCCGTTCCGGCCAGCTAATATGTTTTGGGAGAGGATTTTTTCGATATTGTTTAAGAGTTATATATAATTGTTTGGATGGATTACACTTGTTCTACATCTCCCCTGATCCCCGTGTGTCCATCTGTTTGGATGGATTACACTTGTTCTACATCTCCCCTGATCCCCGTGTGTCCATCTGTTTGGATGGATTACACTTGTTCTACATCTCCCCTGATTCCCGTGTGTCCATCTGTTTGGATGGATTACACGTGTTCTACATCTCCCCTGATTCCCGTGTGTCCATCTGTTTGGATGGATTACACTTGTTCTACATCTCCCCTCATTCCCCTGTTCTTACGTGCGGGTTAGATTCGAATTCAAGAACGACTCGGGTTAACGTTCGATACGTTTATTAGGTCTCACATATCACAATACAACATAGCCCTCGACCTAACCCTGCCAACTAACTAACCCCTGACAACCATTCACTCCAGCTTTTATACCGCATTCGACCTTGGGATAACAATACACAAACACACCGGGGTTAACAATATTCTAGGGTAAACTCAACTCACACACACTCACTCTCCCCTAATTCTAGATCATTCTATCCTATTCTAGTCTAACCTACAACTGACCCGTAACACTACCCACCACCCAAGTATTTGTAGTACATACTACAAATACTAACTAAATCCCCAAATCCTAAGTTAACCTAGAGGGCGAAAACAAACAGAGACAAAATAGATAAATAAATAAATAAAATAATTTAAAAAAAACAAACAAAAAAAAATAAAAAATAATGATTTGACAGGTATACTACACCAAGAGGAGAGTAAATAAATAATGCATTTATACATCTCTTTGTACATGAATCCAAGACAAACAACCGAGTAAAAATAACCGAAAAAAAAACAGCAAAAAAAAAACAAACAAACAAATCTGTGGTTTAAATTACAATTTACATCTCAGACTCCCGATCAAAAATTTCTTGACAAAAAATCAGCTAGAAGATTATCCCTCCCCGGAATGTGTTCTATAGTAAATTTATATTCCTGTAGCAGTAAGGACCAGCGTGTCAGTCTGGCATTATTGAACCTACATTTATGAAGGTATTTTAGAGCACGCTGGTCCGTCTGCAGTACAAAGCTAGCGTTGTATAAATACAACGCTAGTTTGCCTGTGGCCCAGACAATTGCTAGGCACTCTCTTTCTATAGTAGAGTACCGAGTCTCTCTCGGTTGGAGTTTTCTACTGATGTATTTTACTGGTCTTAGGACCCCATTTCTCATTTGCATCAAGGCTGCCCCGATACCTCGTGACGAGGCGTCGGTCCTGAGGATAAATTGCTCATTAATATTAGGTAAAATAAGAAATGGTTCTGAGTTCAAGTGTTTCTGGACCAGTCTTAAAGCACGGTTACATTCATCTGACCACACGACCTTTTCAGGTTTACCCTTTGCTAACAAGTCTGTCAGTATTGCGTTGGCCTCGCTGAATTCTGGTATAAATTTAGCATAATACCCTATAAGACCCACTAATGATCTTACATCTTTCTTTGTGGTGGGTATTGCTACGTTTAAGATTTTGTTTACCTTGTTTCTCTCTGGTGTCAGTAGCCCCCTCCCCACTATGTGCCCTAGGAAATTAATTTTTTCAAACCCTAGCTCTAATTTGGCAGGTCTTACTGTCAGGCCCGAGTCCTTCAATCTATTGAACACCGCCTTTATTGCCATAAGGTGTTCCTCCCATGTCTCGCTGTAGATACAGATGTCATACAAAAATGACACCACATTTTCCAAGTCTTTTAATACGACTCGCATTAATCTGGCGAATGTGGCGGGTGCCGTGCATAGGCCAAAGGGCAGGTAATTAAACTGAAATAGGCCCCAGGGTGTGACAAATGCGGTGAGTTTTTTGCTGTCATTTTGCATGGGGATCTGCCAATACCCTTTTGTGAGGTCGAGTTTAGTAAAATATTTTGCCCTATTTAATTTAGCGAACAGCTCATCTGTATCTGGGATGGGTTCCGCGTCGTAGACTGTGACTGCGTTAAGTCTCTTATAGTCTACACAGAACCGTGTCGACCCATCTTTTTTCTTAACTAGTACTACAGGTGCACTGAAAGGACACGGCAGATTTTTACATTATACGACAAATGAAAGAAAAATTGGCGTTTTCTCTATATACAAGACTGTGGAAAAGAT